GCTCGTGTCGTTCCTTTTAGGTTGCCAATTTTTCGTATTTGATTATTCAGATATATGCATTCCAAATCTCAACATTTAGCCCAAGATACGATGCCTGTGTCGCCGACCCTGCAACTCGTTATCCACTCTGATGATTAACGGGGAACTTGTCCAAACAAATTCCAATGTATGCACGTCGAATTTCGGAAATACTTGGATGTTTTAAACTCTTCGGAGGAACTATTCCAGCTTTTGCGGCCGAGAACTCTTTCATGGAGTGATCAGTCCGACTCCGCTTCAATGGAGTTACACCTGCATGTCGACATTTCCGATCAACGCTAATGTTTGTGAGTTGGGATTATCAATCCCAAACTCCGACAATACTGCGATCCCCGATGCTTCTATCAATAGAACGAAGATAATTCTTGATATCTTGGTCGGAAAAATTCTGTTGTTGTAGCTCAATGGAAGATTTCGGAAGAAAATATGTCGTTGAGATACTGACAGAAATGGGGGGTCCAGACTCAAGAAAAGTATTATGTGGAAACGCCGCGGAATTTATATCGCTGGAAGTAGCGAGGAGGAATCCAGAACATTACTGTATTAATATGTGGAACCGAAAAACGATCTCGATTTGGAAATTAGTTGCGAATCCGTCGCGTAACAATCGCATTTCGATGCGGCTTGCTCAAGCCTCACAGCCATGGCTGGCATCTTGCATGCCTACCATGCGATGGGGAAAACGATCTGAGTCTGTACACTGTCTTTGCACACCAATACCTGCATGGAGAAGCAATCCGGTAATCTCCTCGTCGGTTCCGCGTTTAGGTGCCGTAAGACTCTTCCGGATGCTTGGGTATCGATCTTTGGGTCAAGATGTGCAGGATGGGGAGATGGAGGAGTGATCTATTAAGAAAGGGAATACAGGAGTGTGAATTGAAATGGGTACTTGATTGACTGAGCTTAATATTTATTCCAGTTCAAGACAATGGGCGGTGCAAAATCCCAATGGACATCTTCCCGATGTAATCGTAAGGAGATAAGTATTGTTCGAATTCATCCCATACCATGGAATCACTCATATTTGAAATCTTTGCCCTGCAAATCAGCGGCGTGGTACATATGTACCAGTGTTACATTATGCACTGCATGTGCTTTCGAAGATTCTTTTCGTGCAAGAGAATAATTTTCTCCATGCTGTGTAGCCAACCCATTTTCACGGCGAGCCCGGCCAGATCCATAATTGGAGATAATCACGTTACCTCCGCGTAGAAATCATTTGCATTTCACAACGTTGTGCTGAGCCGTAATTATGCGTCACGGCTGCCTAAGACAGATCGAGGCATAGTTGTTCGAATGTGAAGATAATACAATGTTTCTTTCTGGACCCTGCAGACGGAAGTTTTTTCGCTCACCCCGAAGATCAAGGGTTTTTTCAAGGCTTAGTGGACAACAAACACAGTGGCTGTGCAACGTGCATTGAACTTCCCCCACCAAAAAAAGTCGCTTGAAAGCTAGACCAGCATCGATCTTTTCTAGATTGATTAACGATCTCCAACCCGCGAGTGAGAGACTGGCATTGTTGCGGGGAAAGTGAAGCCGCCATTCTCTTATTTGTCCATTTGCTATCTCTCGCTATCTCCTACCAGTGAAATTTTCTCGGGTCAGCTTTTCATGGATGTTGTGTTAAATGCCCACGTTGTTTTTTCAGTGTGCACGAGGTGCCTGCAGTGGTGTGAAAGAGTCCCTGCTTGTAAATTTTTGCTTATGGAGTAAATTGGCTCTTGTCAAAGTCTGCCGAGCCGCAATCAACGATAGGTAACAGCGAAGGAGGAGTCACTCATTCTCTCCTCTGCCTAGTAATGATATTGGGTTACGAACTCTAGCTTGGCACATTGAACCATCACCGGTGGGCCATTTGTTCCGGCTTAGCAACTCTCCAATGTCTCTTCCCCGAGGGTTTGCGGACTTAAGCCGACGACATGTCACATATCCCATGTGGATTTACGAAGCAACCCAGCAAACTCCACTCGGGTATCGTGAGTGCCCTACCATATCTTGATCGGCCGTTTCCCGATATAGTATCATGAAAAAGATTAGCTTCAAGACCATATGAGTCAGCTAGGTTGAGCAAAGCTGACGTGGTGCATGACTCCTTGGTGAGGGGGGGTCGAGTTACTCAAGATGAGTCCTATTTGAACTAGTATTGAGTAAAAGTACTAGGATAATGTTGACATATTTAGGAATTGTGACAGGAAGTCCTCTATACGCGGGGAAATATCGAGTGACAGGTTGCATTTTTGGGTAGTCGGAGTGACGGCGGGCAGGAGTCACCAGATGAGCTTCTCGAATATGGTGAATAGATGTATTATGACTAGTTTGAAAGATTCTTTTATAGCGAGCCATTACATAGACCTAGTTTTGGTCGGTGGATAGATAGCTTTTCACATGGGTCGTTAATCAAATGACCAATCTATAGGTATCTAGTAGCTATCGAGGAAGGACAAAATGTAAAATGTATTATCAATTGAATAGAGAGGGGACGATCGGCCCTCTATAGGCCCTTCATAGGCCCCCCAGCCACCATTTTCGTTAGCAAAGTGCTTTAGAAAGAGACAGCTGTACAGTTCGGCAGCGGCTTCTCCATCGAGACTCGAAAGAGTTCTCTTACCGTATTCTTTGACACGCGGATGATTGGATGTTAGCAATGGTAAACATAATAATGGATAAGCTGCCATTCAACGAAATTTGCATGAGATTTCATCGAGAATCGTCAAATCCCATTCCGCATAGCAAGGGAAACTAAACAAGGGTAAACCAACATGCAGTGATCATGAAAGAGGTGATCCCAAAGGAGTAGCGGGATCCCCACTTAGAAAATGTAACCTTGGAATTTACAAGGTAAACCCGAGGAGATGGGAGTGCCGGTATCACTAGTAATAAAAGAAAAAGTGGTCACATCTCTTCGTGTAACATCAGTACGAGTACGGATGTTGTACCACTGGTCGGGACTGGGACTCGGGAGTCGGGACTCTCCTAGAATCACGAATGGAGAGAAAAGAAGAAGGTACAAGTGTGTGTGGCTGAACAATTGGACTTTCGTTTATCTGTCTCAAAGCATACCCGTCGGTGGACCTACCTGTAAAAAAAATGAATCAAGAGGATGTGGAGTGGATAGGATTAACGGTATTCCCGAAGAAGATTGACAGACGTCTTGCAAATCTCGATAGTCAGCACCTTATTTGACGAATGGGGATCGTTCACCCATGAGGGAGGGAGTTGACGCTTACAGGGAATAGAATATGCTCGTAAATACGAAGTACGAAGAAATGATTCCAAAGATTGACAAATTTCCATCTACAGTACCTACGACGTACAGCGTAACGATACACTCCTCCTGTGGCTGTGCTCAGGAGAAATGGAATATCCGAGAACAGCGTAGGGAATTCCTTTGTTGTAAGTAGTTCTTTGTTTTAGAATATCATGCATCGGATTGGCAAAGCTACGGGACACCTACTGGGTGAGATCTGAACAGCCTTACAAATTCATCCATTCTCGTGTTTCCAAGTTGTAATCTTACCTAGCAGCATGGAGAAGATTTGAGTGGGCAGTGTGGCTCGTACAATCTTCTGTGGCTTGTTACGAAGCATCGCATCATGGTAAGCCTGGAGAAGCCTTCTTCCGTTGAAAGCCGAGCTAGCGATGATACGCTAGGACTATCCCGCTGGAAATCTAAGGGTTTTTTGTTAGTGTGTTGTCAATTACTCATCTAGGTATAGAGGAATCATTGAAATTGCAACCCGATTAAAAGTAAAAAATGAAATAGTACTCTGTACCTACCAACAGCTCGGAAATAGCGAGGTATATCCCTTCACATGTCGAAGGATCGATACCCAAGTAGGCATAGATATCTAGGAATCCATGGCACATGGCACATGATCATTTTCTCTTTTGGCTGTCAAGGCTTTGGGAATGAATATTATTGGTTTTTCTATTTTGTATTTTGTCGGTGGTAAAGATTTCACTATGTTGTTTTGGGAATTGTTGAACTTTCCTGCTAATGATCCTTGCTCATGGTGCGTCATCATGGCTGCATGGACCCTTACATGTCGAGTGGGAAAAAGAGAAAGAAAAGAGGAAACAAGGGCGTCTTCCACATCTTGTTGCCAAACCCTTGGTCGGTCGCGGTTGTAACCCTACCTAGTACCCGACTTTCCACAGGAAAATCTATTGACGGTGCATGGTGTGCTGATGCTTAATTTGTAAATCCTTGCGTCAGGGTCAGGAAGGGACCGATGGAAATCGTCACTCCATACATGAAATTTCCAATGTTTGGGCCGGAAAGATATCCTGCTATCCTATATATGTATACGCTTGAACCGAGATCCATATCCATAATACCATACATATCATCCATATCATACATATCATCCATATCATCCATATCATCCAGTCCGTCATCTCCCTTGTAGATCTTCACTTTTCTTGATCTTGGTTACTTTCGAGTCTCTCGATAGAATTTTACTCATCATATCAGTCATCCATCTCCAGCGAATACTTTATCTATAAGTCTGGTGTCTGGTATCACTAGTGTTCTTCATCCCCTTTTCCCATTCCATCTCCAAAACATACCACTCTACCAAAAAACCAGACCACTTCCCTCCTCAGATCTAATAACTCTCCAATACCACCGGGCAACAAGAAGCAGACGAGAAATAGAGAAGGAATAACTGAGAATCCAACTTTGATCGGCTGACCAGATGATCTGATTGCACATCAATTAAAATCCGATTATTCTATCTCATTCCAAAAGATACTACTACCTAGTACCGAACGATCGAGGGACCAAAAAAAGGTACCTTCTCATTCTTTCCCTTCTCCATATTGATTAATACTTTCCCGAGTACGAGTCACAGAGGGCCGAGGTCGAAGTCTTTTCCATATATAAAACATTCGCCACCGCAATAAAAGTCTAAACGTCTTACTAAAACCCTTTCACAGATCCCCAAAGCTATATCACTATGTTAGCTCATAACTCAGCATCGAGACGTCAGTTACCACATCATCCACAACAACCTTCTTATAATCAGCACGGTTCCATATTTAATCCTTCTTTACCACCACAACTACCACAACTACCACAACTATCACAATCACAATCTCAATTTCAATCTCAATCTCAATCTTCTTCAACACTCACACCACACTCCGCTTCTACCACAAATAATCTTCCAAATAACAACACCTTTGATTTTGACGGCGATCAAATTCTATTCGATATCCAACAACCCTTATCATTCTCATCAAATCGATTTCAGCAACAGACCCCATTACGAACTGCCGACTATTCTTCGGATAGAATCTTTCAATTACCATCTCATATGCAACAACCTGGTCAATCGAATAGTTTGATGTCTAACGGACAATTGACACCTACTTCGACTTACAGACAGAATCACCATCGAGAATCGTCACTCTCGTCATTTGGATCTCCCGCCGCTCCAGCTTCACCTTACGCACCATCCACTTTGAATCCTCAAGTAGCTGGCGAGTCGTATCATGATTTTCAGGACTTTCATCCAACCGCATCGAAAACCCTGACACCAGCACATACACCATTACAAGAAAACTTCTTCTCGTCTCAGTACACACATCCAAACCAATATCAAAATCAGAACAATCTTCCCTTCACAATGCTTAATGACAGCCTACCAAGATTGTCGGGTAACGAGCTGATGTCGGCACCAGAGATTTATCATAGTCAAGGGTCGAGTAGGCCGTCGCTAAACACAGCGGCGAGTAATGACTCACCCTCGACGCCACCGGCCTATGAGGATGAAAGACAACAGTTCGGTATGACTTCTAGTGTGGATTCCTGGTTGAACGAATACTTACTTTCATCCGATTTCAAAGCTTCTCACAGAACATCTCCTCATCAAATGCCAAAACTCGATCGCACGATGACGGATGCTTATAACGACGAGCTATTCAACCCCAACATATCCATGATCTCCGCTCCTTCCACAACTCCTACTTCAACTCAAACAACCTCGAATCTAAGTAACGATATATTCACGCAAAGGTTGCAAGCAGCCAACAATGGACACCTGAGCACTCAACGAGAAGCCTTAGTCTTGTCTCCTCGCGAACGTTCACCTTTTCAGCCAGGCTCACCGTTAGCTCCTACCCCAGGAGGGTACAACCCCCACAATATGGGATTTGGAACTGCAAAGCACATGCGAGAACAACAAAAGGCCAAGGACGATGCGTTAGCTATGCAGGTACAATACGAGAGGAGTAATCCAGGGCAAGTCACTCCAAAAACGATTTCGCCAAGGGATGTCAACTTGGTGTACAACGAAACTGAGGAGGATGCAAAAAACCCATTATTTCCACCACCACGACCTACACAATCAAAAGCGGGTTATCGTCAACAGCCATCGATTGATCCAGAGCCATCTGAGTCGGAAGATCTGTCATTATCACAACAAAGCTATGCTAGTATGGCTACCACTCGACGAGAAAGCTCATCGGCAATTTCTACAACCTCGCAAAACACCCCAACACAGTCTCAGTTTAAATCGTCGAGTCCTATCATTCCACGAGACAATCTTCGACAAGTGCCACAACATTACCCATTCGTTCCATCTACGCAAAGACAAGCAAGTAATATTTCCAACATGTCGAACACATCGAACATTTCCAATGACTTTACACCAACCTTAGGATCGATGGAGTCTAGCAGCAGTGATTATTCACCTGATCAAGAAATCGAAAGACCAGGCGATACATTAGCAGGTAGTGGAACATACACATGCACATATCATGGATGTTCACAAAGGTTCGAGACACCCCCCAAACTCCAAAGACACAAGCGGGATGTGCACCGGAACTCGACATCCTTGATCAACAACATGGGTGGGGAAACTCGGGGTGCAATGACATCAATGGCGCAAAAGTTAAACAGTCAAAGTGGGCCTCACAAATGCGAACGGATCAACCCGTCAACAAATAAACCCTGCAATACTATCTTCTCTCGTCCATATGATCTTACACGACATGAAGATACAATTCACAATGCAGGCAAGCAAAAGTTGCGATGTAAATACTGTACGGAAGAAAAGACATTTAGTCGAAATGATGCTCTTACTCGACATCTCAGAGTGGTGCATCCCGAGATTCCAGCGACTATTACGAAAGGCAAGAGAAGAGGATTGGGACTTCATTCTGACTAAGAGTGTTTCCACTTTGAGATGGCCTTTTCTCCTTCCCTTTGAGGGATTTGATAATCATCAGTATCCAGATTTCCATGGTAAATATGGGATGTGGGTGGAATGAAATGAGGTGAGATGATTGGAATCAATTAATCAGCATCTTATTATCGATTACGAAACATGAAATGATTGGTCATTCACGACTCGAGATGATCCATTTCTCAGGACATGATTGTGTGAAGGAAGATACCTAATATTCGATCGCACCACCTCAGCCACATCCACCTCCATCACTCCACTTTATTGGGTTTTATGCTCAGTCCGACTCCAACCCCACTCTTTCTTAATGGTCGGCTCTTGAGTCTTGACTTCTCCTTCCCACCGACCATCATGGCTACCTCGGACCCCAGTTACATTCTCCTATCATCATCATCATCATCATCATCATGATCTACATGTGACTGGAATGGATTGATTGGATGGTTTTTGGATTTGGGTTGGACTCTACCAATTTTTTCACGATCAGAAAGGGAAATGAAGATGGAAATTGAATTTTCTGGAGTGTTTGTGATTGGATGATAGGATGATTGAAACCCTATCTGCTCTTCTTCAAACTCAAACTCCTCGACTCCATTTGTTCCAACACTTCAACCCGTCCAAGACTCCCAAACTCTATCTTATCGGGCTTATCCGCATTCCTTTTTCGCATCTAGATTCCAAGCCCTGGTTTTTCTTGACTTCGGAATTCAAGGGAACTTAGCCCGAGTCAATCCATGATTTTTCAAGAAATCCATGATTTCATGATTCATGGATTTCTTGACGGGATTCAACATACATAGATAACGTGGATGACGAAATCATTCATGCACAATTTGATGCACGAAGGGTCTCTTTTTTTCTTTCTTTTTTTTGCTTCTTTTTTTGGTCTCCGCATATTTGTGGATACCGGGTACCATTCATAGTTACTCGTATCTTAATTATTTATTTATTGACTTGAAAGTTGAAATGGTTCGTTTTCGGAAACTCGGACGTTTATCGACATGCAGACTAAAAGCGTCCATCAATTTCATGGAACAATGGAAAAGGGGGGGGGGGGATTGGTGGTGTTACACTTTCGGTCTCATGACATCATCATTGTTACCCACGATGAAGTCATGACGCTTTACACTTTGGACACGTTCATACCTTCACACCCTCAATTTTTCACCAATTTTATTTACAAACAGAAGGTTGTTTGTAAGTTGTCATGTGATACAAACACAATGTATTATGCCCTTATGAGTTTTAAAAAAAATGTTATTGAGGGGTTAGGATATGGGTTTTGGGGGGCTTTTTTGGTTTACGGTTTACGGTTTTTATTGTTTGTAAATTTGCATCTCACAGCGCATTGCGATAAGGGGCATGGAATGGGATGGAACAAACTATATTTGATTGACTTTTAGCGGGAATTGGGCTCGAGGGATATTGGGCATAGCATTTGGAGAGGGGGGGGGGATATATTAGTCGATTGGACTAAATTTATTTTACTTTTGTCAATATTTTAACGGTTAAAATATTTCCTGTGTATTTCTTAATCCCTTTCCTTTCCTTTTCTTTCTTTCCATGGGGCTCAGATGCCTAGATTGGATTTGTACATTATCATCATCACTATACCGAGTGTATTATATACTACCATCTTGTTACTTTTTCCCCTCATTTTCTTTTTCCCTTTTTTGAAAGACTGTATCATAAACTCCATGGTTATCCAAGAAGAGAGAAGAGGAGAGAAGAGAAATGTATTATGATAGCGCATAATCTTATTTTCATGTTATAATGTGAGAAGAGACAAACATTTATTTAGAAATTAGATGCGTCTTATGATATAGTAAATCGGGTTTATATCGTCATTTATCTGTTGAATGGGATGAGGTGTGATGTGATGTGATGTGAAATATGTGAGCCTTTTTGATTGTTGGAGTAAACATAGGAGTTTAATCGATGTTTAATTTGTGTGAATGGTTTTACTGAAGGGATGTAGGCGACTGAATCAATATCATTTCATGAAGTGAGATGAAATGAATAGATAGATGAATAAATCAATGATTAAATGGATGAATGAATGAATATACATGACTGAATTATTCCATATCATCTAGGCAATGAAAGGAGATGAATCAATGAGATAAATAACCTATTTACAAGTAATGTCACTGTTGCTCTCATTTGTACTCGTCGTATTCGGATTCGGATAATGATACATTGAATAGGTGTATATACCTACATGAAGATCGGATTTCGAAACGAAACGGAATGGGAGCTAGTGAGGGGGTGGATGATGGATGATGGATTGGAGATGAGAGTGATGAGAGTGATGAGAATGATCTCATGACAAAAAAAAGAAAAAAAAAATCCGCGATAGAACGAAACAAAAAACAAGCCGAAAATTGTATAATCTACAAAACGATATCAGAAGATTCAAATAGAGTGATGAGAACCGACGAGATGAGCTCAAAAGGACTAATCAATATTAATCTGAATGATACCTTCTCTGCTCCAATACCCTACTACCTCTACTCTTCTAACACTATAGTACCTCACTATTAATATTATTCTTTCAGATCGAAGTCCAATTCCAAACCCCAATACACCCACTCAACTACATTCCGAGTTCACGGGATAACTACGAAATCAATCTTATGAGATGAGAAATCGGAGGAGGCACTGACTATGTCACTCAACTACAAATATATACACCCAAGTAAAAAAAAACATAAAGACACATTGATAAGAAAGCAAGTTTGTAGCAAGTTTACTGCGTTCAATTATGACCCCTTACCAGCTAGCAATATAGGGATTCGTAATCGTTCAATCTCCTTGAGAAAGAATATTGACAAACACTCTCGAAACTGATCATACGCCATTCAACCCCAAATCGAAGCCCTCAACTAATAATCATCATGTACAAAATTCTCACCCTAAGACAAATATAATATAAAAAGGAAGAACAACTTTTCATTTCATGTCAAATCAACAGTTACTTCATTTATTTTCCATAAACCATATAAATCATACCATGCATTTATCTCTCATCTAATCGTCGATACCTAGACATGAATTGTATCCATCCAGAATCTAAGCAATACTATCATCCATAACTGCTGCTCTAGCATCCGCATACAAAGGTCTAATTCCCGTCCATTTTTGGAACTACACATTGAGTATTAGTAAAATCATCCAAACTCACCCCTAACAAGCGAGGGAAAAATGAAAATCATCAAGATAGACTAACCTGAAACCAACCCTGTGCGCTCAAAACCTCCAATCCAGGAATCGCAACCCAACCAGCATCTTCTGCCATTCTCATAAGAGGAGTTTGAGATGGCTTATAAGCCATCTCCAACAATGTCCTCTGACTTCCCTCGTCCCTCTTCTCATGTCTTAAAAGAATGGCAAGAATTTCCCGCATATTACTTTCAATCGGGCGATCAGCAGGTATAGTACTAATAGCAACCAAAGGAGGAATGGCGAGTTCAGCCGCCAATGTAATGCTTGGAAGCGGGATTATGTTGAAAGATGTAGGGAATGAAGATATCAAAACTTCGAGTTTAGAAGGGGTGCGCGCGACCATGTAGATAGGAGAGTGACCGAGAGAGTGTAGGGCGTAAATAGCAGCGCGTGCAGTACCTCCAGCACCGATGATGAGGGCGGGAGAAGGCGAGTCAGCGGGCGACGGAGCGTAAGAGGCAGATATGAGTGAGTGAATCATTCCAAGATAATCAGTATTTTCACCGATGAGACGGGGTGGATTATCTGCACTAGGAATGATGGTATTGACTGCACCGATGACCTTCGCGGCATCAGTGACCGAGTCGAGAAGAGGTATGATGTCGAGTTTCAATGGAATTGTAACAGATGCACCACCGAAATTTGGAGCACGAATGACATCTTGTACATCAGATGCTGTATCAGTTCCCAGTCTAGAGTATTGATGGGGCAATCCTGTCTGCTTGAAAAGAGTGTTGTGTAGCGCAGGTGATCGCGATTGGGAGATCGGGGTACCAAAAAGATAGAACAATTTTGGCTCTATCTCTCCAAGAGTCGACAAAGTTGATCTGATCTCAGCAGCGGAGAGTTGACCAGGGGCTGCTTTGAATGGCAATGCTGGATGCGAAACCGGTGTCATGAACCCATTCAAAACACGACTGAGTTTTCCAGCCACGCCCATATTGATGGCAATCAAAGGTGTATCGTGAGCAACCGCCATCGTCTTCTTGAATTTAGCAAGAGCAAAGTTATCCTCGATACTCTTAGCGGATCCGACCAGCTTGATAATATCTCCATACTGAAGAGCTCTATTGTAATGCTGGAACCATCCACCATTTTTCCACGACAAAGTTCCCTCAAGATCATGGTGTGAAGCTATGATTCTAGAAAATCCTTTGGCTTCAGTAACTTCCTGTAAAATCTCATCGGGGAAAGCAATCTCCAAGTCGATGTATTCGATGCCCATCTTTACGGCTAGCTTATAGAGTTTCAGTGCCTCTTCATGTGCAGCGTCCGGGAAGCGACCTCCCTGACTGACTGTCCGCACGGTGAAAATCACAGGTAAATGAACCATTGATCTCAGATGTGCAATTTGAACACTTAAGAAATCAATACCCGGAATTCCATTCGTGGAAGATGGATCCTCCAGTAAATCAACACGCACTTCCACAGCATCAGAGCCTACCGCAATGCCGGGCAATATATCTGCTGCTGATGATATATCAGGCATTGTGAGGGAAACGAAGAATGAGTGTGGTTTGTTTCGCATCTCATCAAAGTGCAAACTCTTTCCTGAAATGTGATGTAGGAACCTAGAGAAGTCCTGTTCCGCAACGGAAAGAGCACCAGTCCCGCTGCCCTTACTATGGTATTGAAAGTTACTGCATTCATTGAACCAGGGTTTGCGACGAATGTAGACTCCCATCATATCCTCAACATATGCAGGTCGGGTTTTGTCTATGCGAAGATAATCCATGACCTGCTCTGTGTCTCTGTGA